GAATGAATTGTTCATCTCATCTTCACTTTTAAACTGTAGATCCTTAAGGTACTGCTGAAAGGGTGTAACATTTCCACTCTTGAAGGTGAAGCCCAGTACTGTTCCAATATCTGAGAGTTTAACATCTTTTAGAATATCTTTAGCAGTTGACCAGTTATCGCTGGCCACCCATACCTTATTACTTGCAACATTCTTGCTTTGTAGACCCTTAAAAAGCAACTTCATTTGAGATGATTTAGCAAATGAGACCACCACATTAACCTTCGTATTTTTTTCAATGATGTCCACGGTCTTGTTGATGTGGGCGTTTAATTTTTGTTGGTTTGCTAGGGAGTCCGGTAGGATCACCTTAAAGGCCACACAAATTCCTGCGGTTTCGGTGTGCTTAACAAAACTTTCCATGGCAGAACGCCCATAGTCTCCATCTGTAATGATAATGCCAACCCAGGTCCATTTATTGTCCTTCAGAAGTTTTACCATGGCATGGGTTTGGTACTCATCAGTGGGGACGGTCCTCATGAAAGCTGGGAAACGACTTTTGTCACTTAGAATCGTAGCTGTAGATCCGTAACTAATCTGCAGAACAGATAAACAGACAACAGTATATTACCCCATCCTAATTTTGAGCTCTATGAGGGGAGAACTTGAAAAGGCTTACCTGTGGAATCAGCAGAAGGTTGAGTTCTCTGGCAATTGCGATGGAGATTTCTGAAGAACTGGTCCCAATTAACGCTGTCATAGGCCGGACAGGTTGAGAAGAGTTTGTTGGTGAATCACAGTCTGAGAGAGGCCGTGTAAGATCTTGGATGGCCCAAAGCGCAGTTGTGACATCAAAACATGTGTCATAGATGCGGTATCCAAGAGTAATGTTCAAACTACTCAACATGGGGGATCTGTTTGCCATTTCCACAGCATGAATCATAGCTAGAGCCTGATTTAGACCTTTTGTATAGAATCTAGAGAGATTGTGACAAGATTCTTCAGATTAAAACTGATACTCTACAGAAGACTTTAGTATGTACATAATGATGATTATTCGCCATCTAATATATTTTTAAGGGGAAAGCACCAAATCAGCATATTAGACTGGTTTCTGAAGGATCATGTGACACTGAAGACTGGAGTGATGGTTGCTGAAAATTCAGCTTTGCCATCACAGGAATAAATTAGATTAGATATTTTATAGATTTTAAAATATATAAAAATAGAAAACAGTTATTTTAAATTGTAATAATATTTCACAATATTACTGTCTTTCAAAAATATTTATATTTCTACAACTACAAATATTTTACTGCAAAGTCCATAAATCCTTATTAAAAAACAGACAAAAAAAAAACCCATTTACTGTCCACAATATATATTTACAGACTTAGCAAATGACAAAAATGATCGGTTCAGTCCAGTCTGCTTTTTTTCTGATCTTCATAAACAATGAACACTCACGTGCTGCAGGTGGGACGCTGAGGAGCAGAGAAGCTGTTTGAGCTTGAGAGGTTCACTGCCGTCACTGCCTCATGGATGGGGAAAAGACCCCCAATGATGATGTCTCCAGGGGCTGTTGTCCCATGGAATTGTGTCAGAGAGGCGTCTGTGACCTCCAATTGCACAGACAACACGAGTAAGAGGAGTGTCAAATCCAAACGAGCCATCACTGCTGTAGGCTGTTCAGCCGGGCGAATGACAGGTGTGCTTTCATATATCTTTGTTTATAGACATACAGCTTCATGCTTAGCTTAAAAAAAACCATGCAGACCTCCCACATGTTTCTCAAGTCCCTCCCCCAACTCAACCTCTGTTAAAAAAAGCAGGTTTCTTCCTGTAAATCAGGTGAAACAAAAAAAAGGTGATAAACATCTTAACAAAACAACAAAAGGCTGCAAGTTGTTTCTTAATACACACGTGTATAGGAGAGAACAATAATTCAAAGGGTTATTATAGTTGTAGGCCTATTATTGTCACTTGAAATAAAACGTTAACTAAAATACAATGGAAAAAAAATCTTATTTTCATTTACTTTAACTAAATTATATACACATAAAATAAACACATGAAAAAGAGACAAATGCATTGCACCAAATTACTAACACTTAAATCGAAAAATAAAAACTAATTTAAAATATTAAACTGTAGGCACTCTCAATGATACCAAAATAACACTTTATATTGTATATTGTATAATCTTTATATTGTACTTAGATATAAATTATTCTGAGCATCTTAACATAACTTTAACTATAATATAAGTGGTGATGCTCACTTGTTTTTGTCTCTGGGGGGAAATAATAAGTTAAAGGGTGGGGAACTGCTAATACAGTGGTCAAAAGAAACCAAAGGAAAAGACAAAAGAACCACAAAAAAAAATGTAAAAAAAAAATACTTTAATAATAAATATAAATTAATGAAATAAAAAAGAAAATTAATGCAAATTAAAATTGTATATTAAACAACGACCTACAAAACCCAAGACTGTATTCCTGGTTTAAATCCTATCTCACTGACAGGCAACAATACGTCACCCTCAAGGGGATCTGCTCTAATTTGGCGCCGGTCCTGCATGGCGTGCCACAAGGATCGGTCCTAGGCCCACTGCTATTTAATATTTACATGCTGCCACTTGGGATGATCGTCCGAAAGCATGGACTACACTTCCACTGCTATGCTGACGACACTCAGCTCTACATCAGCACTAAGCCTTCTACTTCGCTTCCACCAGTGCCACTTACTAACTGCCTGAAGGACATAAAGCACTGGCTGGACAATAACCTCCTCAAACTGAACAAAGACAAAACAGAACTCATGGTGTTCGCCCCGCTGTCACTTCTTAAAAAAGTTGATGACTTCACATTGGATGTGGATGGCTGTTCAATCTCTGCATCTCCTCAAGTACGCAACCTGGGCGTCATCATGGACTCCACTCTCTCCTTCCAACAACACATCAAAAACGTCACTAAAATAGCTTTCTACCATCTCAAGAACATCTCCAGACTTCGACAGTGCCTCACCAATTCTGTAGCTGAGGCCCTCATCCACTCATTCATCACCTCTAGACTTGACTACTGTAATGGTATCCTGCTCGGTCTACCCAGCAAAGCCACTGATAGACTTCAGTATGTGCAGAATTCTGCGGCTAGGATGCTCACACGCACAAAACTTGGTCTTCACATTACTCCTATCCTTACGAAGCTACATTGGCTGCCAGTAAAGTCCCGCATCAAATATAAAATCCTCCTCCTGACATACAAGTCCCTACATGGACTTGCACCCCAGTACATTATTGATCTTCTCCATTCCTACACTCCATCACGGTCCCTGCGTTCTTCTGACAAGAACCTGCTTGTTGTCCCCAAGTCCAGGCTTAAGACATTTGGTGATAGAGCTTTCTGCGTTAGTGCTCCGTCACTTTGGAACAAACTTCCCCACGAGATCCGCTCTGCCTCATCACTCTCAACATTCAAAAATCAACTCAAAACACACCTCTTCACTGAGGCCTTTGGGCTCTAGCTGCATCGGCCCCGTGCCTCCTCCTTAACTCCCCCCTTCCCATTTCATGTCCTTTGTTAAGCGTCCTTGGGTACTTTGAAAGGCGCTATATAAATTAAAGTTATTATTATTATTATTAAGACAAATCATGAGAAATGTTAAGTAGTGCATCAATATCATTAACACCATTCATCTTACTTTCAAGTGAAGTGAAAGTGGCTTGTTTACGCCACCTTGTGGTGAAAGCACTCAGATACTTCAGGAAGTGATAAGTAGGCCTATCGCTGCCTGTATTTGCAGTAGGCTACTTAACATTGATCTAGGAAAAGTGGTGGTATCAAAAAATAATGTTTCTGTATTCAGGTAACTGTAATAAGTAGGATAATGTACAGAGCACCACAGAAGTGCTCGTACCCACAGTAGAAAATGCTTTATTTTTATGTCAATAACAGGGTTTCCCACCATTTGAAGGTGCAGCGTGTGATTTTAGCAGCAACTAGCGGTTCGGTTGTGAGTTTACACTTTTTTACAGTCTATGGTTTGCACCAGGTTTGCACAAAGGGGCTGAGCCCACTCCTCACCCATCGGTGAGCACAAGCCATCGGGAGAAGCATGGCTAACATGGCCATGCTCGACCACCATCTGTGGCTCACATGGACATCAAGGACGTGGATAGAATGGTGTTCCTCGATGCCCGTCTCCATTTCCGACCTCTTCGGCCCGGTGGGGGCGAATATCAAAAAACCATGATATTTCAGTTTTGACAATGGGAACTTTAAATGTGCTCTCTCAATGGAGAGTAGGCTAAGCAACAGGGAAGTGGCTAAATTAACCAGTAGGTGGCCTCCAACTGCACATGAGCATGGTGTAGGCCACAGTTGAGCCACTCATGATGAAAAAAAGCACCAAAACAATGTATCGCTTCTAGGGGAAAAGGAGACGAGGCAAGTGGAGGTGGGGAGGGCAATGCTCACTTGTAATCTACAGGAACAAAAACAAGATTGTGGCTGAACCGTGTAGTCTTATGTGGAGATTAGTAGACTGAAGAGAAAGATGAAGAGCTGAAAGAAAGAGGAAAAGAGTCAAAGACGACGCCTTCCTTGTTGACCAACTCGTGCAATCCTGATAACCAGCAGGAGACAGAGAGAAGTGAAACACTGAGCTATCAGCCCACTGGTGCCTGATTAATCTTGTCTGAGAGGAACTTGCATTGTTTTCCACGTCAGAATCAGTTTTGTATTAATTACAAAAGTGATTGTGCAAAATTGTCACATGTTTGTCATAGTGCAAGCTCCTTTTTGTTCTCCTCTACCCTTGAAAAAACCTACTAAAAACATCCCTAAACGACATTTGTTGAAATAAACCAGCAGAAAACATGTATCCCCAGTGTTCATAGAGATACCTCTATAGAAAGCAAGAGCTAAAGACAGAGAAAAACATGCGAGGTTTCATAGTTAAATTTTATCTGAAACTAAACCTTTAAACCATACAGAACTAGGAACTGTAAAGAATATGTATACATGTTTAATATAATATTCTTTTAATAATAATTACAATCTTAATACAAGCATTGTAGAATGAGGAGACCTCTTAAACTGCCATTTTCAAGGTGGACAGCAGCTAGATACCGAATTTATTAGATCACTCTAAAGCATGGTACAACAAAATGAAGGAAATATAGGGAATGAATAACAAAAACAAATAACTGGCCATCTGATTGCAGCTGAAAATCATTTTGAGTGCCCAGACTCAAACAAAACAACTAGATTTACACATCAGCCGATGCTTAAGAGCTGAGGACAGCCGTGAGCAACAGAAGCTGAAATTATTGCACAAGAAAGAACTAAACAGCCATTCGGAAATACCAGTCGAGTCATTGGAGTTAAATATTATTTACCAATCATTTCAAATTCAGAAATGAGAGCAAAAAGATGTTGCAATTGTCAAACTGTGGTCCTTTGTAAAATGAGAAGGATAAAATAAATGCAAATAGGGCAGTTCTCCAATAAATATTTAGGTAAAATTCAAAAGCACTAGAAAGGCTCCTTTGCGATCACAATCAGCTCCACACCTGGACTTTCAACAGTTCCTCTTGCTCTAATGACTTAGTGTTAAAAAATTTTTTGAGAGAACTAGACTAAAATGTTATCAAGTTAATGATCACTAAGAATCTTTCAGGAAAAGGATTTAAAGATGCATTGGCAGTTGACCCCTAACTCTCAGTTCTTTCTTCATTTCTCTGACGAAAAGTGAGCAAACACTATGCATATTTGTCTTAACTCATAGAAGACATTATAGCATATTCTTCGATATTAACGTGGAACTGAAAGTTTTCCGAGCTTTCATTCTGAATTCGTTAAATAGCTAGTTATCAATTAACGTCATCACCATGATTGTTGCATGCTTTTTTTTTTACACTGTCTAGCAATGCAATATATATCATAACAGTCCATGTTTAAAGGTTTCGTTAAATCCACACTGATTGTGTCCTGAATATACCTGCAAAAATTAATGCAAGAACTGAGAACATTTCTGATCAGTCTCATTAAACAACGATTTCCAGAGCTGGACGGAGACTTAGCTCAATGTAGAATGAACTAAATTGCTAAATGAGTTTTCAGATTAAGTGTGACACTAAACAATTATGTAAATTAAGGAGGGTTACACTTAAACTTCAGAGATGATATAAGGCATTCCAGGGGTACCTATTATGCAAAATGGATGGAGCCATATTTGAATGTGGGTGCGACAACCTATAAGACAGCTTTTGCTTTTAGTGTTTGTGTATTTTTTTCACTCTCTGAAATAAGGCAAGAGCACTATTGAGAATCTATGCACAAATGCGTACTAAAATGTATACACCATTTGGACACATTCAGTTCTGTCATTTCCTCTTATGTAGGCATTGCTGCATTCTCTCTCTGACTACAGTGAGGGTAATCCAAGTGTAATCCTACAGTCATGCAATAGGCCGCAAGTTTTCATCCCTTCGTTAAATTCAAAATCACTCCTTGCATATGCAGCTTGAATACGCAATCCCTTAGTTAATCCCAGTAAAAGCAGTGATTGCAACTGCCAGCTTTCAGTTTCTCTCTCCCCTAATATGCGGATGGCAAAATGTTATATAATCCAGAGCGTCACGTTAATCCGTGCCCGTTCAGTTCCAAACAGGTCAGAATCTTGTAATCTTTATTCCAGAGTCTCCAACAATCAAACGGGCTATGGAGGGATGCACCTGGGACAAAAGAATGTGCAATCAGAAAAGTGAAAAAGTAAAGAAAAAAAAAAATCAATCATTTTAAATGCTTTGAAAATGTAGGCATCACAACATTGTTATTGTTAAGTCTTTATAATATACTGATTATAAGATTTACTAGTGTTATTAATGTATCAGTCTTGTTTACTAGTGTTATTAATGTATCGAGACTTCCTTAGATTTCCACGACGCATGCGCGAGAATTGCGATCTGAAGTAGTGTAAGCTGGTGTAAGCAGATCGCAATTCTCGCGCATGCGTCGTGGAAATCTAAGGAAGTCTCGTTCTGGCCTACAAGGAAGAAAAGAAATAGTCGAATAAACTCGTTATTTTTGTTTGTTTTTTCGCACAAAAAGTATTTGCGTCGCTTGATAAACATATAGTTGAGCCACGGTAGTCACTTGGGATATTTAAACATTTTCTTCATTGACTTTCTGGGCCGTCAAGAGGCAGTCCCTTAGGAGCCAATGTGGTAGTTATACAGCTCTCAAATTTAATCAAAAATATCTTCATTTGTGTTCCGAAGACGAACGAAGGTCTTACGGGGTTGGTACAGCATGGGGGTGAGTAATTAATGACTTAATTTTCATTTTTGGGTGAACCAACCCTTTAACATTGTTAATCAATGAAACATCAACTGCATCTTTAACGTCAGCTGATAACTAATGTGGTACATATATATTGTGAATATACTATACCCTATACTTCCACTTACCTGTGCCTGCAGTGGCCCATAGGGCACCAACTCTCCATCTACAGTGAGGGTTCCTCGTGGTGAAAGCGGTTGAAGGCGGAATGCCCGAGCAGAAACATGACTGACGTAGGGAGAGCTTAGAGACATATGAGCTCCTCTCTCCATTGCTAGAAACAGTCTAAGCAGCGTTGCCCGGGAGATACCAGCCCGCACAAATGTCAGATGGATCAACCCATCATCAAATCGAGCCTGAGGTGCAGCGAGAAGATCTGCTCCCAAGTGGGACTGATAGATGGCAAGCACTAAGACAAAATCGCCCTCAATAGTGACCCAATCACGTGTAGGGAGAGGCTGGTCCAGAGGAGGTAGCAAATCATCCTCTGGCAAGTTGATGGATGTCACGTGATGACGATTCTTCAAGGGTCCTGCGGGCTCTGCAAGGTCAAAGTTGAAGGAAGGTGCCGGTGAATGAAACGAAGGCGAAGGGGAAGACGAGCCGGGAGTGTTGGGATGCGGTGCGAGATAAGAAGAGTGGGGAGAGGCGCAAGATGGAGACGAAGGAGGGGTCGGCGAAAGGGACAGAGAAAGGGATGGAAATTTTGGAGGGAGAGAGTTTGAATGTGATTGGTGGAGAAGGGAGAGGGGCCGTGGTCGTGAGGGGTTCTGGTTTTGGTCCATAGTTTTAACTTTAAAAGCTTTGAAAGGAGACTGGCGGAATGGAGAGGAGGAGATGGTGAGGGCTCGCTCGCGAGACTTGTCCAGAGGAAAGGCCTCTCTCTGAAAGTAGGTGCCATTTATGTCTTCGTCTTCCTTCCCATAAGCTGCCACCTCCAAGTCTTGGTCAGTGTCTGCACCAATTGGCTGGCTGAAGAAGGCATTAATAATCTGACTAGAGGGAAGCGAGTTTTTACGTAATGCGTTTTGGATGTCAGGTGGCGTCGTCTGATAACTCTCGTCACACTCATTTACCTCATCTCTGTCATTCAAATCTCTTGCTTTCATCACTCCTTGTCCATCTATATCATCCCCAACTGATTTATTATCTTCTTTTCCATTCCCATTATTTCTGGCTATGTTGTCACATTCTTCCCTTTCGGTTGATTCAGAGCTGGTCTCTGACGTCTCTTCCATCTTTTCTTCTGCTTCCACCTCTCTCTCTCGGTCTTCTGCGAGACTGCTCGCTCTCACTACCCCAACCCCTCTTGCCCTCTCTCTCCTCCTCTCCCTCTCCCTCTCTCTCTCCTGTCTCTCCAGTTCTCGTTCCCGCTCTCTTTCTCCATCTCCTTTACGGAGACTTCTTTGTTCACTCAGGCCCATGTCAGAGCAGGTGCGGTGGATGGGCGTGCGACAAAATCCCTCCAATCCTTCAGTAATGCTGCGTGAAAGCGGCCTTCGGGGCAGCTGAGGCATGGCATCGTGGGACGGGTTGACAATACCGGGTGGCAAATAGGAAAGACGACCCTTATAGGACCGCAGAGAAGCCAATCTCACCAGTGTTCCCAGTGTAAACCGTGCTGAGCCCAGCCCTCTGTAGCGCTCACTCTCTATGTCAACATCAGACACAAAACCCCAGGCCACAGAAAGGAAAGAGAAAAGCCTCTTGGGTGCAGGTGGGTGCCCATTCTGATTGGATGTGGATGATGAAACACATGGGCTGGTTGTAACAGACACCAAGTCCATCGGTTTAACCCCACCCCGGCACAGCAGAAAACAACAGTTGAGGAGGAGAGGCTCCCGAAGGCACATGTCATATCTGAGAGAAAAACAAGAAAAGAAATTGATTCAATCACATTGAGATATTTTAAAGTTTTGGTCAAACAATTCCTTAAAAAAATAAGGGAGGCTCTCTGAAGAACTAGAGATTTTCATAACATGTGTCCCAGGTGAGCTCAAGTACATTTCGTACCCTGCGTAGTGGTTTATGGAACCAGAAAGTGCATTTCCAGAGCCACAAGGCAGAATTCCCACTGGAGTTTTTATTGCTTGTTCCCAATCTGGCCTTTCCATAAGACCATTTATCACCTGCAGAAAAAGGGAAACAGATTAATTATTAATCTTATTTTTACATACAAAGCCTGTGGTAAATCAGCCAGCTACTACAAAAATCAAACTTGTGTCATTCAGATTGTTCTACACATCCCCAGCCCCTTCATTTAATTAATATTTTGGTAAATTTCATCATGTTTTCAGTTACCAATAGAGTATTCTTCTCAACCGTTTAATGTCTTTTACCATGTTTTAATGCATTACACATAATTCCACAGACTTTCCAGCAAAATTATTTCCTGCAAAAAGTCAGTGGACTCCATCTGGGATTTGTACAAAGTCAATATATAATGTATCAGAGCCACATGATATTCACCTCGTGCAACAGTCCGTCTCCAGATACAATGATTATTCCGTCCCATTCTTGTAGTGAGATCTCTCTGATTAGCTCACGTGCATGATTCTGACGCTCTGCACAACAAAACAAATACATGCATCACATCAGTTCAATGCAATAATTCAGATTCTGACAACTGTTGGTATGAGCGCTTTTATTCTGAACCATTTGTAGTAAACAGCATGTGTGTGTGTTGTTCTTGCCTGTCTGTATGAGGTTGTAGCTGATGTTGGCTTCTCTTATCATTGGAAGTATGTGTGTTTGACACCATTGCATTGCCTGACCCCGGCCACTGAATGGGTTCACCAACAGTAACAGTCGGCGGGGACGGGGCAACATGCTTTTGCAAAATTCTGCACAAACAAAAACAAGCAAGTGAGGATAAGAGCTTTATTCTAAGGCTTAATGCCAACACTAAGCCAGTCCTAAACCATCTGAAAGTACAAAGTAGACATGACGTTTTAGTGAATGTGGAAAAATAAGTAAACCTCAAGAACACATATCTGACCTTCATTTCAAAAATACTGATAAAGACAATTTAAACCATCCAATTGATAATGGATCATTTCAATTTATTTATTTATTTTTTTTTTGCAGTATTTTTGACATTTTTCCCCAAAAAAACAGCATCACTTAGTTAAAAAAAATACTATGGAAGTCAATGCTACCGTCAACTGTCTGGTTATCTTCAAAATATCTTCTTTTTGTGTTCAGCAGAAGAAAGAAATTCATATAGGTTTGGAAAAACTTAGTAATTGACAATTTAAAATTTTGGGTTAACCATTCCTTTAATGGAGTGTACTTACATGTTTACACCACTAGACCTGCTAATCTGAATTTCTAACACAAATTACAAGCCATATTTTTTATCACATAAAAGGTATTTTAATGATTTAGTGAACAGCAAAAACTAGAACTGACAACTAACTACATAACAGCAGTAAAAACGACAACACGCAGCATCTGTTTAAGTCAATAAAGCCTGGTGCATTGCTACCGAATGATCTGCACTACTGCACTAAGGCTGTATTTTCCATGCCACAGACCCACCCATTCTCTGACCATCAATGACAGCATGTGGTACACATTATGAGTAAAAAAAACAAAGGAAAAAAGGGAAGGAACAGTTAAACTCTTACACAAATAAATGCAGACAGACATGATTCATTCTCACATAAATTTAGCTCAATATACTGTACAAGAAATCAGTGTCGTCCTATTTACAAGACATACTAATTAACAACATTAATGCAACAGCAATGACTCAGATGTCATAAAGAATTAACAGCATCCAGTATCCATTATTTTACTGTTATTTATATCTTCACATAACATAGGCACAATCACACATAACAACTGACAAAGCATCAGTGAATGATCAAACCCTGACACCCACCTGTAGTGGAGCTGACATCCATCCCCCTTAGCAGGCTCTGTATAGCAGCGTTCCATTTTTCTGCCTCGGCTCTGCTCTCTGCCAAGTACGCCCTCACCTGTCTATGTCTGGAGACGCCCTTCCGACGTTTACCCGGAGGGTACCAGTAAAGCACCAGCAAAGGAGGGGCCGGCAATCGTGGGCAGCTGCATCCGGTCAGCTCTGCCAGTGGCAGGAGCAGCCTGGACTGCTTCCCCGCACGTGGAGACAACCGCTGGACATGGACGTGAGTTGGTGTGAGGGTCAGGGCATAGTTGGTGGAGGCAGGGCTGGAAGGTAAAGATATGCCTCCAGGACTGTTGGGGCTGCTGTTGCTGTTACTTCCACTTCCCCCTCCGCTACTCCAACCGCTGAACTGTCCATGCAACAGGGCCTCTTCGGTCATGGACAGGCTTTCAGGGCCTGGGGAGCGCATTTTCAATGTCTGGCCTCAAAAGTATCTTTGGATACTTTACTTTACAGCTTGAGTGCCTCATGCACAGGTCTTTCTGTGTTGTAGTGAGATGACTTTCTGGACGGATGCACTAGACGTCTTGAGATATTTTCAAATGCGTCAGCTTTTTTAAGCCCAATCCATGGGCTTTTGGCATAAACTTAATGTTACACAATTTATGAATGATGAAAGTGCTTCAACAGGCGTCTCTTCAAAACAAAAAGAAAGTTCAGCAGGATTTTCTATCCCTGATAGTGTTAAATCTTTCCCATCAGTGCATTTTGTGCATAAATCCTATAACTATTGTCGGATCAAAACATAATACACAAAAGAGATTTCCAGTTTAGTATCTCAACAAAAAACAAAGATGCACAAATAAGCCAGATTATTTGCTTTCTCAAATGTGACTGATTTCACTGGCAAAATGAGAAAATGCACAAGTCTTTTGTCAAGATTAAACGGATCTGTGTGCGTCTTCATAAATAATAATTAATCGACATTTCTTAAGTTACGAACAAGATACTTCCTTACAAGTTGTTTAAATAAAATTGGAAGCACAATTTCAATTAACAATGCATTGTTTTAAGGTCATAGAACTTACAGATGACTAAAAATAAGCACGCACTAAGGTTATAATAACCCTATAAATGCTACGAAAATGTTCATTTACAAACAAGGACAAAGAGCAGAGGTAATGGCCCGGCCGAGGATAGTGTTTGACAAGAACCAAATGAAACCTTATCTAGGTGGACAACAAAAAATACAGTTCCTATCCAAAAACAACAAGGTTGAGGAAGCGATACAGATGACTGGTCAAAACTACTGGTTTTGGTCTAAAACAGCATCAGAGATTGTAGTAGTGCTGGGATTTCATGTATTCTAGTTCACTCAATAAATAAATTCCAGAAAATTCAGGATTTGATATCAATGAAAGCTGAATTCAATCCTTGCAGGACAGTCCTCAAAAATGGAAATAAATAAAACCCAGAATACAGAAAGAGGTGGAGTGCTGGAACAGGGTCTCAAGTCATAGTTATCCTCTTTATCCACTGTTATAGGTGCCCTGTTATATAGAGAAGGTTTGGAGAAAGAAAAAAGAAAGAGAGAGAGATTACCTTTCGAAGATTAAATGCAATATTCTACATCTTACAAAGCAATATAGCTCAGGTAATATATTATTCTGAATAGAAGTTTAGGACCTTCTGTTACACAAGATACTACCAAAAGTTCAAAGGTTTGACTTGGTCAGATACAATATTTTTGATTATATCATTACAATTTTACAATAACCTTTTTCTATTCTAATATATTTTAAAATGCATTGTTCCTGTGAGGGCAAAGCTGAATTTTCAGCAGCCATTACTCCACATGATCCACCAGAAATAATTCTAATATGTTGAGCTGGTGCTCAAGAAACCTCTTATTATGATCACAGTTGAAAACATTTGAGCTACTTAATATTTTTGTGGAAATCCCCATACATTTCCCCCCTGAATTCTTCAATGAAAAGAAAGTTAAAAAGAAAAGCATTTAGTTTAAATAGAAATATTTTACTATAACTTTTATCATTTTAAAAAGTCCTTGCTAAGTAAAGTATTCATTTCTTTTTTTATAAAAAAAAAATTAAAACACACACATTTACTGACCCCAAATTTTTAAATGTATTAGAACTCAAGATCATCTTTGCCCTTCTAATGGAATGCGTTGTTAAATTGACCCTTGTCCTGCACCTAATCTTACCAGACTTAAGTAATCAGATAACTCATAACTACAATATCTTCAAAGGTCTGACATCAGCAAAAAGGAACATGCTGAACAATATAATTAGCTATGTTTCTCAACAGGAAGAGTGTGGCAACCGTTAGTACGGAGAAATGTGAACAGATGGATTTACAGTCTAAATACAAAGTTTATCATTTAAAATATCCTGGTGCCTGGCAGCCTGTGGTTTGCCACTGTTAGGTAACAAATATGCAGAGTTGTGTCATTTTGACCCAAACAGAGAGAGAGAGAGAAAAAAAACAGTCTGGGGTAGAATTACACACCTGTCTGGCATTAATCTTGGATGACACCACATATGTAAATTCCGCGATAGTGTCTGAAACGCAACACCAGGAAGGTGGATGAGTTGAAATCTAATCGCAATTTCAACTCAATGGAGAAAAGGAATGTCTGAAATGCGAACTGACGACATATTCAACAGATTAAGATCTCATAGTACATGTTTATGGTGGACAGGAAACGGCTGCAGTTGAGCGGCCCAATATATAGACAAATAGGCTAGTCTATAAACATCTGGGTCGAGGCGGACGGCTGTGTAGGATGTTTTAGCTGTAGTTCAACTTCTGCAGACATTGTTTTGGAAGTCAGCAAGTAAGGCTCAATGCAGAAATATGTGATTCTTATCACAGCAATCACACACTTTAATTTTCTTCTGGTCCTGCTTGTTAAGACTCATGTGAAATCAATGCCTGGCAGATTTCCAGAACTGTTAAAAAAAAGAAAAAAGAAAAAAAGAACAACCACCCTGTGATGTCCACTTCGCCCCCTTGTGTCCTTGCAAAGTTGGGGCGAGACACTATCAAGAAAGCAAGACCAAAAGTGCATTCCTCTCTAAAGCTTCACCTTTTTAGAGCCAAAAGAGTACTGTTGACTGTCTGGGCTTCACACACATGATTGCACACTTTGTCAATTTTATCAACAAGACTTTTTACTGCATCAATGATATGATAATATTATTCAATCAGATCCACTAAAGCCATTTTGAATCCTTTGAAATATAATTAATCAGCTCTGACCTCACAGATCATAAAATAATAATAATAAAAAAAAACTGATGACCTTTACACAGTGTAGGTAATTCTTTAGGCGATCAGTTCTAGGGCCAAATTCACAGGCCAAAAGAAAAAAATGCTTAGCCATCCAACTGAGCAAAGGTAAAAAAATACAAAGCTCAGTTTGTCACATTACAAATATAATAGCAACCTGAAAACAAAGTATCTCTTGAATGAGAGTGAGACAGGTGGACAGTCAGCTCAGCTGTCACAGTCACACATTCATTTAAAACTGTTGCAAGGGGGATTTTAACATACGGGTGAAATTGTATTAACATTGGTTATTTACATACAAAAGATCAAAGAAACTAATAGCAAGGAAATTAATAAGTACAACTGCAGTTTCTTAGCAACTTACAGCCAAACTCCCATATCAACAACACCGTTAATAGCTAATGACAGGCCAACACAGGGAACTATATCATGATATGGGTATGAGTGGACTTGTTTGTGCTTAACGGAAGCTGTTAAAACCGTAAAGCTGGTAAAGACAAAACACTGTTTTATCGATGAGAATAATGAACTCAGAAAACATGTTGTTATTGTCATTTTAAATAGCCAAGCCGACGCGGACCTCAGAGACATTAACCTGAAAAAACGGATCCGTTTCTGTTTGAATTCTACATTAAATGAGACGTCCTAGAAACTTTTACGTGTCTTACGGGGTATAATGACTTTAATAATAGTAATAAACGTCAAAGCGAAAGTAATACTGGACTTACCTGTTTTTTTCTGTTCCCCCTACATGGCGAGTTCTCCAGCTTTCCTGAGCTGTAGGGGAGGCACAAGCGTTTTCAGGAAGTCTATCGACGCGGGTGGGCGGAGAAAAGCGGATGATTGACGTGATCAACGTACAATCATGAAATACAATCCGTCTGGCCAGCCCATGGCGATTAAACACTCTTTTGCTCGTACTATATTTAGTGCTGAAAAGCGTTTTTTGCTACATACATTGTTTCTATTTTGACTGTTGATGAGAGAGATATTTTTAATAAATTGTATTGTTAATATACAGATAGTTACAGGTAATTTATCTGGACATCCACATCTACACTCACGTTGTGCACATTTAAACTTAAATCATAGTTATAAAGAAGAAAATACAAAATAAAGATAAATGTGCAGACATTTTAGATGTAAAACCAAAATAAGCGAGGGATTGGTTCAAGGTTTCACAAAGAGAACGTTATGCAAGTATCTGCATGGGTAATGAGATCTGTTTTAACTATAAATATTCCAAATTATGTTATTAAATAGATCCAGTGAGAAATGGTGGAGGAGGTAGAAATAACATATTCTAATTTTAGAATTACAATTATTTCTAACAAACAAGTGGTGTATAAAAGTATAATGCATAGTAGCAGCAGTATAGTTATAAAACATATCCCATAGGACTAGGGCACATAACTATACTACATAAGTTACATAACTAACGTTATATATCGATGTAATCAAATAGAATTTCCATCATTATTACACCATCAGCTGACTTAAATTTACATTCATTTTACAGTTATATAAAAAAATAGATTTTTCCAGTTATTTAATTTTCCTATTCAAACTGGACCGATTGTTACAAATGAAAAAAATGGAAATAAAAATGTGTTAAGAATACGCATATACTGTAAGGTTAAGACGATATGACAACGATTATGAAGATAAAGGCCTTTTTTCCGTAAATATAACCTTTGACCTAATATTTCATCCAATTGGATCATCGATCCAGCGGAAATGGTCACAATTCGAGAAATGATTGACAGTCATTTTTAACGAATCACGAAAACGGAAAAAGACGAGAGGCGGGAACTTTAGCTGTGACCAGTGGGCGGAGTCTGCCGTCCATCTTTAATGTACTGGACAGAAGGGACTGTCGAGCTAAAAACATTACCTAATTTGAAATAAGTAATTGGCGGATATTTTGGTCGTGGCTGTCACATAGAGATACTGACGCATTTGAAAAAGGTATATGACGAATGTGCATTCAATTTAAGAGTTGAAATCCCCCACAATTTCTGTTGGAAAAACTATGTGTATGCTAGCAGAGCGTTAGCCGTCAGCGCTGCTCGACATCACAACAACAGCAGCTTAATCCCTGTTAACTGCATAAATAAGCAGTATACGGTCTATATATACTGACATGGTGACATTTTTATTAGTGCAAATGAGATATGACGATTAAATGCTGCTGATCTAACACGTTAGCATCAGCTTGGCTAGTGATCAGTGATCAGAGGCTGCGTAAACTGGTTGTGTTGGCGTAACGTTATACGTGATCTAAACCATGGGAAGGATCAATTAAAATTCTTGGTAGTTTCTCTTATTCTGGAGGGTGGGAAAGATACGCAAAGAAAACCGTGTGTATTTGATGATCCGGAAAACACTCGAGTAAAGCAGAACTTTGAAGTTATCGTTCGTTTTCGGGTTTCAAATAGTATAACGTCAATCGAGCAGGATGTGTTGATACCATTTTCTATTGAGATGCGATTTATCTGTCAGGAGCTGTAGAAACGCTTTCCATCTGCTTCACACGAAATGCTGTGCAAGTTAACTGTCTCTCTAATGTGCTTGCAGTGACAGAAGGCATGAAGACAGTATCATAGCGAAGCCATGGCTGATAAAAGAAAACTTCAAGGTAAGACATTATGATATGGGAAAAATATAATGTAATTTTCTCTCTACTTGTACACAGCAGTTTCTGTTCACAGATCATCATATAATCTCATGATTTATGCATAACCATATGCTTTACACAACCAGGTGAAATAGATCGATGTTTGAAAAAAGTTGCTGAAGGAGTCGAACAGTTTGAAGACATTTGGAAAAAGGTGAGACGTTAACATCTCAACACGTAATGCTTAATCCAAATAAATGAACAAGCGAAAGGAATCGCACACCTGTTGTCATATTTTACATCTTATTAATTCATTTAATTGTATACTCAGCTTCACAATGCAGCCAATGCCAACCAGAAGGAAAAATATGAGGCAGATCTCAAAAAAGAGATTAAAAAGCTTCAGGTAAGAATGTGCTCATCTGACATTTAGTTTATTTTAAGGCTTTCTGGAATGGTGTGACAATGCACAAGCGGAATAATAGAGATGCTGTTGGACTAGATATTAGCACTCTTGCAAGAAGCGGAAGAAACCATTGACTAAAATTAATTATTTTACACTTGCTTTAGAACCAAGGGAAAATATGTGTTCTCAATTAGTATAATTGTTCTCACCTGTTTTTCTTTTTAGCGACTAAGAGATCAGATTAAGACATGGGTGGCATCCAATGAGATCAAAGACAAACGGCAGCTAGTGGAGAACCGCAAGCTTATTGAAACGGTAAAAGCACATAGTCAGATTCCTCATGGCTCTTTTATTTTAACACGCTTGTCACTTTTGATAAAACTATGAATTCATTTTTTGGAAAATATTTTTCCCAAGTCTGATCGGGCAAGCTTGAAGCCCTTAACCTTACTCCGTCTCTTTCTCCTCAGCAAATGGAGCGCTTTAAGGTGGTTGAAAGAGAAACTAAGACAAAGGCCTACTCTAAAGAGGGACTGGGCTTGGCTCAGAAAGTAGATCCAGCACAGAAAGAGAAGGAGGAAACGGAACAGTGGCTCACGGTACTAGATGGCTCACAAATAACAGTGGGGGGGTGGGTTGAAAAACTTTTAACAGGATGTAAGCAGTGCAGTAATAACATGATTTCTCTCTCTCTCGCAGAACACAATAGACACTTTGAACATGCAGGTGGACCAGTTTGAGAGTGAAGTTGAGTCCCTCTCTGTTCAAACACGAAAGAAGAAAGGAGACAAAGAGGTCAACATTTCATTTTTTTATTTCCCCTCCTTTCTTTTGACCACTTTCCTAATTCATTTTTTAGGCTCCTTTTTATGCTTTCACTATTTTGCAAACACTCAACATGTTCTCGTATTGTTCTTTTCTGTTGTTTGTGTTTGCCTTCAGAAACAGGATCGAATTGAGGAGCTAAAGAGGTTAATCGAAAGACACAGGTACCACATTCGTATGTTAGAGACCATCTTGAGGATGCTGGATAATGATTCAATCCAGGTTGAAGCTATCCATAAGATTAAAGATGATGTGGAATACTACATTGACTCTTCACAAGACCCAGATTTTGAAGAGAATGAGTTCCTCTATGATGATCTGGACTTGGAAGATATACGTAAGTCTGTGTTTTTTGGAAGGGTGTGTGGACAATTGCGTTATTTTAAATGAATTGGCTAGTTGTTGACCTACTGAACAACTGTCAAGATAGTCACACTACAAATATCTCGGTCTCTCTAGCGGCAGCCTTGATGGCCACATCTCCTCAGGGCCAGATGGAAGATGAAATGTTCCTTCAGTCCAGCAGCACGCCGACCTCCACCACTTCCTCTTCCCCCATCCCTCCGTCTCCTGCTACAGGCACAATGGTAAACTGCTTTCTTTTATTCTGCCTCATGTCTCTGTCTAGTCTGCAGAGTATCTCCATCATTGATAATCGCTCCATGAATCATGCTCTCTTAGCTACAGAATGTATTGTCTTAATATATATTGTATGTGAATGTTTTGTTCAGGAGATTTCAGAGGATAAGAGAGGTCGATCAACAGACAGTGAAGTCAGTCAGGTAAGACTAGTATCTGTTAAAAGGTTTACACTCACATGTTGTTTTAAACCTGTATGACTTTATTACAGTGAATGGGGACTGAAACTTTCACTATTAAGTAATTGTATGGGCACTTAATATATTATATATATATAACAAACAAGTTGTATAGACCACTTTTATGGTTATTTTCTTCCTTTTTGAAGCTTAAAATGTCCTTTACATTTGCATCGAACAGAGTGACCAGAATGTTTTCAGAATGTTCTTGTTTTGTGTTTCAGAATCATACAGATTTGGAACAACATGAGGAAATGACAGAAATGTCATTTTGGGTGAACTATCCCTTTAAATTGCACGCATGCTTAATAAAAAAAAGATATTTGTGTTTCTAACCTCATGGCTTTCTTGCTTCGCTCAGTCTCCTGTGAAGAATGGAAACCCATCTCTCTCATCCTTTTCTTCGTCTGCCTCCTCTGGCTCCTCCTCCTCCTCCTCATCACTGGTTTCCATGGCTACTGTTGTCGGGGCCTGCACAGCGGTCTCCGGGGGTAGCAACCTGCTGGGAAGCTTTAGCAGCGCAGTGCAGCAGCATTCTTCTCAGTCTCAACAGCAAGCACAGGTCAAACTTTCCTCAACATCTGCACCCTCAAACAACACACCCAGCCCACCTAGCCACCCCACGTTACCTGCCTCCACGACTTCCTCTCTGCCCAGTTCCAGCACTTCCGGCTCAGTTACTTGCAATTCCCAGTCCCAGGCTTCAACAGTTCCTGGGGTCGAGGGTTCTAGACTGGGTTTGGGCCTGGGGAAAGGCGGTGTGACAGTCACCAGCAGCAGTAGTGTGACTCAGATGCCAGTTCTGGGCATGGCAGGCATCTCTGGCCCTCTCAGCACTATGGCAGGACTTCTCTCAGGCTCTACCCCTGCCCCCTATGCCCAGGCAGCTGCAGGCGGAACAGTAGGTAGTGCTTCCAGTGGTCCAGTGGGGAACGGCAGTGGTAGTTCTGGCATATCTGTACCGGGCGGAGGTGCAGTGGGTGCAAGCACAGGCGCGACCAGTAACGGTACGGGTACTGGGGCAAGTATGGGCTTGCTAGGGTCCAGTCCGGGTCATGGAGCCCTTACAGGAGGGATTCTGAACCTGGTACCGGGGCAGACGGCTCTCCACGGGTCTGCGCAGGTACCCGTAAGCCCTGTGGGCACAACACCTAGTGGAGGAACTGGAGAGAGCCTATTGGGTGGGAATGGAAGCAGTTCTGTGTCGAGTGGAGGAGTAGGGACAAACGTAGCGCCTGCAAGACCTCCCAGTGGCCTCAAACAAAACGGAGCAACCAGTGAGTGTTTTTTTTTTTAACTTGTTCAGTATGGATGATAATTATATTGATATCATCCATACTGGTAAACTCTGATAAACTCTTAATTGTTTATCATTGTTATTTTTTTAGTTTATAATTAATAATAATTGTTTTACATTTTTATTGTTTATTTTATTTTTACATAATATTTTATATTTATTTGTTGCTGTTTAGTTTTACTTTAATTTATTATTATTATTAATTTAAATGTATTCATTATTATTAATCTTTTTTT